TGACATACTGTCAGCAAGGAGTTAAAAACAAGGTTTTCTCAGATAAGCAATGAACAGACATTGAGGAAATCTAGAGCCGATTTTTTTTTCCCCAAATATTTCTTTCCCATGAGCAAAATTAGATTTTAAACTTATCTATGTGAAACAGTACACCTGTTACTATGGAGCTAGCTAGTTTTCAAGATTCTATGAAACTGGATCCAAAGAAAAGACTATCCCCTTTTTCTAAGGGGTACTTCCTTAGCAACATAAAGGGACCAACTGGAAAGGACTGGAAGGAGTCTCAAAGATGGGCTGGTTTAGTCCCACTGGAGCCCCCAGGCTAAGTGACTTCCTAGGCCACAGCCTGTCAATGATAGAACAGGCCCTCTAGCGTCCATCTGGACTTCGTTTGTGGTTTCTTCTGCACTGTATTTTCATACAGAGAAACTTGTGATTAAAAAAGATAAGTATAAAAGTTACTATTAAAAATAATATCGTGGTAGAAAATATTTGGGAACCGTATATCTGATAAGGGTTTAATATCTAGAATATATAAAGAATTCCTACAAGTCAACAAAAAAAAAGTAAACAACCAATCAAAAAAATGAACACAGGACTTGAACAGACATTCCACCAAAGAAGATATACTAACGGCCAATAAGAACATGAAAAGATGTTTACATCAGCAATCATTAGGAAATGCAAATCAAAACCGCAATCAGATAACCATTTCACACCCACTAGGATGGTTATCAGGAGCCCTGGTGGCACAATGGTTAAGAGCTTGGCAATTTGAATTCACCAGCCGCTCCTTGGAAACCCTATGGGACAGTTCTACTCTGTCCTATAGGGTCGCTATGAGTTGGAATTGACTCGACAGCAATGGGTTTGGTTTTTTGGGGTTATGATGGCTATCATCAGAAAATAGTAAGTGTTGGATGTGGAGAAATTGGAACCTTCATCCATTGCTGGTGGAAACAGAAAATGGTGCAGCTGCTATGGAAAACAGTTTGGTGATTCTTCAGAAAGTTAAACACAGATTTACCATATGAATCAGCAATTCCAGTCCTAGGTATACACCCAAAAGACGTGAAAGCAGAAACTCAAACAGATACTTGTACATCAGTGTTCACCGCAGCATTATTCACAATAGCCACTAACTGGAAACCACCCAGGTGTCCATCAACAGACGAAAGGATAAACACAGTGCGGTCTATCCATACAATGGAATATTACTCAGCCTGTGATGCAGTGAATTACTTAATATGGCCCTTCTAGCCATTGTCTTTGTAACTCCCACCAAATGACTGGGTGGGACTATGCAAATAAGGTGTCTGGAAACCTAACGAAGGGATTGGCCATTTTTGCCATCCCGCTAGGCTTAAAGGGAGACACAAAGAGAAAGAGATTGAGAGAGAGAGAAGCTGTAACACGGAAGACAGAGAGGCAGCAGAGGCAGCAGGACCAGACTAGCAGGAGATGGTATCGTGGGCTTCCCGGCCTATGGAGCAAGAGAGCTGAGCGAGCTCAGCTGAGGCTTACTGGCAGAATGGGGTGCCTCCAGGCACTTATCGGCAGAGCTAAAGGAGCTTTGTAACACTTGCCTGAGCGGGGTAGAGGTCAGGCTGAGGAGAGGCTGTCCTGATGGAAGGACTGTATCCTGAGCATTCCTGAACCTGAATTGTAACCTGTTACTTCCCTAACAAACCCCATAATTGTGAGTATTGTCTGTGAGTTCTGTGTGGCCACTGCAACGAATTATGGAACCCAGCAGAGAAGTAGAGTGTCATGGGAGGGACGGTTGGTGTCAGAATTGGTAAAAAGGTCGGAGGGTGGAGGCATGTCTCATCTCCACTTGCTGGAAATCAATCTTGGGCTGTGGGTCTTGATTCTCCTCCCTCCTCGTGAAGTTAGAGAAGGTCAGACGCCACCCCCACACCATTTTTACACAACCATAAAGAGAAAGGAAGTTCTGATACACACTATGACACGGATGACTCTTGAAAACATTATGCGGAGTGAAATAAGTCAGGCACGAAAGCACATACATTGTATGATTCCACTTGTATGAGATATCTAGAATAGGCAAATGCACAGAGTATGGGGAGTTATTTCTGGAGGGGTACTGAGTTTCTGTTTGCCATGATAAACTTGGAGATCCTGGATAGCGGGGATGATAGCACAAATGGGGAATGTAACTAATGTCACTGAGTTGTGCACTTAAAAATGGGTAAAATGGCAAACTTTCTGTTATATATATTCTACCACGATAAAATAAGAAAACAACAACAGTAATACAGTAAAACCCGCGAAAGCTGGAACCTGTGTAAGGCAGAATCCTGTCAGAAAAGGAAAACTCAAATATTTTCCACTAAAACGAGCGATAGAAAAATGGTAATACCGTACCCTGTCAAAGCTAGAAAACTTGGGAAACTTAGAAAACTTTGGAAAAACAAAGCAATCTCATCATGTTCCGGCTCTCACAGGTTTCACTGTAATATCCTGTGGCATCCCACTTATCTTACTGAAACGTGATCCTGAAATACCGACACAGCACCAGCAAATACAACGGCTGTCCTGGCACATTCACTGAACAGAATCTAAGAGACGAAAACCTAGCTACCTTCATACTCCTAAGTCCAGTAAGACTTGTGGGCTTGGTTTCATTACGGGGCATGAGTTTCACAGTGATGCCCTTTAGAATGGGAAGGAAGCTCACTTTATACCTGGACTGTGAAGCAATGAGTCCCTGGTGGTACCAATGGTTAACACATTCAGCTGCTAACCAAAAGGTTGGAAGTTCGAGTCCATCCAGAGGCACCTCAAAAGAAACGCCCGGTGATCTATACTGAAAAATCAGCCACTGAAAGCCCTATGGACTATTGGTCTCTTCCTGCCCAGAGCAAAGGAGGGTGAAGAAAACCAAAGACTCAAGGGAGTGATTAGTCCAAAGGACTAATGGACCACATGAACAACAGCCTACACGACCCCGATACCAGAAGAACTAGATGGTGCCCAGCTACCACTACTGACCGCTCTGACTGGGATCACAACAGAAGGTCCTGGACAGAACGGGAGAAAAATGTAGAACAAAAAATAAAAATCACAAAAAAGACCAGACGTACTGGTCTGACCGAGACTGGAAGAACCCCCAAGACTATGGCTGTAAGACACTCTTCTGACCTGGAACTGAAGCCATTCCCAGACACCAGATAATAGCTAGGCCCATAAAATACACAGTAACACTCGAGAGGAACATGTTCCTCAGAACAATCAATTACATAAGATCAAAAGGCCAACACTTGCCCAAAAGCAAAGATGAGAAGGCAGGAAGGGGGAGAAAAACTGGATGAAAGGGAACAGGGAGGCCAGGGTGGAAATGGGGAGAGTGTTGCCACATTGTGGGGAATGCAACCAATTTCATGGAACACTTTATGTACAAACTATCAAATGGGAAACTAATTTGCTTTGTAAACTTTCACCTAAAGCACAATAAAAAAAATTTTTTAAAAACCCTATGGAGTGGGACAACTCAGTCAATTGGCATAATATAGTTCATAAAGTTTATGTTCTACATCCTAGTCTGGTGAGTAGCATCTGGGGTCTTCAGTGCTTGCAAGCAGCCATCTAAGATACAAATATTGGTCTCTACTCATCTGAAGCAAAAGAGAAAGAAGGAAAACCAAGATTCAGAGAAAGAACCAGTCTACGGGACTAGCTGTCTACATGAACTGAGACCAGAAGAACTAGGTGGTGCCCAGCTACCACTACCATAAGTTTTGATCAAGACCACAGTAGATGGATCCTGAGAGAAAGAGAGAAAAACGTGAAACAGAACTTCAAATTTTCAAAAACTCCAGACTTACTGGGCCCACTGAGACAGGAGGAATCCCCAAGACTATCACCCTGAGTTACTTTTTAAACCTTCAACTGAAACTATCCCCTCAAGTCACCTTTTAGCTAAACAGCAGGTTAGCTTACAGCAGGTTAGATTACAGATTACCACCCTTGAGTACTGTGCTCTTTTAAAAAAACATCTATATGAGATCAAATGGTCAACAAATACTCTAAAGCATAGATGAGAAGGTTGGGGGACAGTGAGACTAGGTTCATGGGAACGGAACAACTAGAACGGAAATAATGAGAATATTGATAGAAGAAACAACTATTAATACAGTAAACAACATGTGCAGGAACTGTTGACTGGGAATCTGTTTTGCTGTGTACACTTCCACTGAAAATACAGTAAAATATTATTTAAAAAAAAAAACAACCTGTGGAGCACAGTTCTACTTTGACACACATGGGGTCACCATGAGTTGGGATCAACTTGAAGGTAACGGGTACTGGCACTGTCCCGTCCGAAGCTATAGCTTCGGGCTGCAAATGCAAATATGCTAAGGCCCCGATCACACTAAAGGATCTGCCGGAAGATGAGCTGGGAACAGGACCAGACAAAATGGGCTTAGACCTATGAGAAATAAACAACAGCTTCCTGACAGGGTCAGCCGTGAAATATTTGAGTGGGTTCCTGAGAAGGTGGCCACTGAATCTTGGAGGCGTTTCTGAAACTTGGCTTCAGTTAAACTCCTTGTCCTTCAAGGAGGAAATCGTTCAGACTCATCTAGAGTGAAACCAGGATATTAGCCACAAACGTACCTCAGTGAACCCTAACACCTAGCACAGGCCCCGCCCCAAAGCAGACACCCACACAATGCTCAGTTGTGACCATCAACACTGAGAAATTCTCCACACAAACAACGAATGTTCCATCTCACAGATTTTTCTGGAAAAGGTTTAGGATGTGAAGTGGTTACGCCCCAGCCTATCAGAACCCCAGAATCACTACGTTCAACAGGGAGAACGAGAAGAGTCACCGACCGCTCTGGGGGCCGCGGGGGGGCCTGCCGTCGCTGACCGCTCCGGGGGGCTTGTCTCCCACCTCCCTCTCACTGGGCTCCTCACTGACAGTCGAGTCGGCATCCGAGGAAGAAACTCTGCAGACAGAAAACAATTACACGCGTCAACGACAGAACCATCCGCACACCAACATTCATCACAGCACGCCACACAACGGCCAAGAGGTGGAAACAACCCGAGTGTCCCTCCACAGGTGAACAGATAAACAAAATGTAGAACATACACACAGTGGAATTCTGCTCAGCCATGAAGAGAAATGACGTTCGAATACATCCACAACCTGGATGAACCTTGGAAACATCAGACTGAGCGAAATAAGTCAATTGCAATAGGACGAATATGGTATGATCTCACTTACTGGAAATAAGCAAATAAGCAAATATATAGAAAGCAAAGATTATTTAGTGGTTACCGGAGGTGGGAGGGAGGTGGAAAGGGGCCCTCATTGCTTAGGGGACAGTGAGTTTACGTTCACAGCGGTGGAATGATTTGGAAAAGGATAGGGAGAAGGGTTGCACAACTTGAAGAATGTAATTAACGTCACTGGAATTGTACATGCAGAAATTGTTGAGTTGGCGTATTTTTTTATGTATATTTGCACCACAATTTAAAAAAAAAAAACTAAAAATAAAATTTTACAAAAGACAGAGAACAAAAGAAAGTGACTGCATTGATTTGGATGTGGAGGTCAGGCTTCCAGACAAAAGCAGTAGAGATGAAACGGCCCCCAGACTGTTTCTCTGCGTGGCTTCTTCAAGGATCACATGAATATGACAGAGTGGCCTCCTGAAGACGGCGGCCATTATACAGCTCATGAAATAAATGGCTCCACAGGGTGCACTGCAGCAACTGCTGGAAAACTTGGCACCAGACTGGAGGGTGGTCCCTCACCTACGTGGGCAAGGCCCAGGCCTGGCCACGGTCACTTCACGACCAGCAGTGTGGGTCCACTGTGAGCTGGGCAGACAGGACCCGGGGTTCAGGACTGGTGCAGGGCCAGCTGGGGCCACAGAATCCTCAGGAGGGTTAGACGAGTTCTGCAGTCACCCCGAAGCTCCCACCCAACCTGCATCCCCCAAATAACTCCAGCTCTTCGGGGAAGCCTGAAAGCACAATCCTAAGGCAATGACCACGCCTGAGACTGACTGCGTGTATCAGAAGCAAGAGGATCGCGGGACTCAGGTTAGACATGTTGTTGTTGGGTGCTTTCGAATCAATTCCAACTCACAGTGGCCCCGTGTGACACAGCAGAACTGCCCCTGTAGGGTCTTCTTGGCTGTAATCTTTACAAAAGCAGACTGCCAGGTCTTTCTCTCGAGGAGCCACTGGGTGGGTTCCAAACACCAGCCGTTTGGTTAGCAGCCAAGCGCTTAACTGTTTGTGCCTGTTTGTGCCACCGGGGCTCCTTCGAGTTGCATGGGGCTAGTGAAAATTCTGAATCAGTTATCACCCCTTCTCTTTGGGCTCCTCGACTTAAAATACAATGTGAAATGCCAAGACTTCTGGTGTCCCTAAGCAGTGCTAAAATGTTACATGAACCAAGCAGATCATGGAGATTTTGTGGCTCACTGTTTAGAGACCAAGACTGTCAGGGGAGAAAAAATAGTTCGTAATAATTTTGCTAGCTTATTGAATAACTTTTAGGGGTTTCATTTATTCTTAGCCTGGGGGGTAACATCTCTCTACATAATTCGTTTTCTTTTGTTACAAATCATATGCTAGCACTTACTAAATTCTTAAAAGTAGGCCATCACCATGGGGTGGGTTTGCTGGCAATTCAGAAACCATGACACGGTTCTGAATGTTGATACAATCACACGCTTTTTTCTTCTTAGCAGAAAGTAACCAGGGTTTAGCGTTCAAAAGCTCCAAGGAAGGCCGATAACGCGGCTTCAGCAGCCAAAGCCTGATGATGCTCTGATCTGACATCAAATTGACAAAATCTGATTCTGAACTTGAACTTCTTTAACACAGCCCTAGCCCTTCTCCCAGGATCAGAGGGAGAGAAGGGACTGCCGGGAGGTTGTCCCCAAGCGGTTCTCAGTGTCCTTGATTTGGATCAGAGAGATGGAAATGAAGTTGGGGGGGTGGGGAGCTGGGCAGGGAGGAGGCGGTGAGGGGTCCTGTGCAAACATGCTAACAAGGGGGACGGCAGGCAGTGGGAGAGAACAAAGCAAGAACTGGACGACACGCTGAAGGCCCCGTGCAGGCAGATGAGTGATACCCCAGGCAGCTGCCCCCCTGCAACGGCAGAGATGCTACCACGGGCAAACCACTTTTTATACGTTATTTCTGATATTATCTCCAGAGGGCCTGGAATGCTCAGAATAAAACTCAAGAGCTGGTCAAGCCCTGAGGGGACCCAAACCACCCCAGAGAACGCGCCATCACCTTAAACACTCTTGGAGAGAAATCGTACCCCCCGTCCGCATCCTTTGCTGTAGCTGTTGTTATTGCTACTCGTCACCAAGTCAACTGCCGCTCACGGCGACCCCGTGCGTGCAGAGCAGAACTGCCCCACAGGGCTTTCAAGACTGTGACCTTTCAGAAGCAGGTCACCAGGCCTTTCTTCCACGGCACCTCTGGGCAGGTTCGAGCTGCCAACCTTTCAGCTTAATCGTTTGCACCACCTGGGGGCTCCTTGGCATCCTTTAGAGGGGATCAAAACCACTCTCAGGCTGGGGGGTGACTCTGGGCAAACGCTCGTCGGCTCCCAGACCGAAGACTCAGGGCAGAGCTCACCACGGGTCCTTCAGATATTGGAAATGGAAAAACTGCAACAGAAGTAGCAGGGAGAGAGCCACTGAGACGCCCAGTCCTACCTTCCTCTGTGGCGGAGGCTCTTGGCGGGGACCTTGGCCTGGGGGCTGGGCACGTCTCCATTCTCAGAGGGGGGCGTGTGGTCCTTCACAGGTCCTGGAGGGGGCACTGGCTCATGGATGATCAGTATGTCATCTTTATTGTGCTGGCCCAGGTGCTGCTTGGCAAAATCGAAGCCCTTCACACTAGGGATCTGCAACTAGAACACACACACACACACACACACACGGTTACTCCAAGGACCGCGAAAGAGGGCTGCTGACACGGGGAACAGAACTTCTGACCCCAAACTGCCCTTGCAATTTACCACCCGCTTCGACAGGGATCTCCAGAATGCCGACTGTGTGCGGGAGACTCTTCCTATCTAGAGTCTGAGGAAAGGAAAGAAGCTTCTCTGCAAGATTAAACAAGGGCACCTGTTGCCGTTGAGGCCCCTCTGACTCATGGCGATCCCGTGTGTGTCGGAGTAGAACTGCACTTCATAGTGTTTTCAATGGCTGATTTTTCGGAAGTAGATTGCCAGGCCTTTCTTCTGC